ATCGCCCAAGACGGTCCCAGAAGTCTCCAAATAGGGGCCCTAGACTGCCCAAGAGGGGGCCCCAGACGGACCAATGAGCGCCTAGACGGCGCTAAGGTGGTCCTAAAGCCTCTCCAAGGGGGGCCCAATGGGGGGACCCCGAACGGATATTTTAGCCCTCGCCGCGAGGGGCCCCCAAGGCCCCAAGAGGCCCCTAATAGCCCACGAGAGGCCACCCAAGAGGCCACCAAGGGCTCCCAAGACGTCCCCAACACTGCAAGACGCCCCAACACTGTTCTCAAGAAGCCCCCGCACGCTCAGAAGAGACCCCAACAAGCAACCCAGACCCACAATTTCTGCATTGCCCTTGCGCGGACTGTGCACTGCAGCGAGCTTCACCCATGGCGGCGTGTGTGTGTGTGTGTGTGCGTGTGTGTGCGTGTGTGCGCGCGTGTGCGTGTGCGTGTGCGTGTGCGTGTGCGTGTGCGTGTGCGTGTGCGTGTGCGTGTGTGTGTGTGTGTGCGTGTGTGTGTGCGTGTGCGTCTGCTTTTGCGTCTGCGTCTGCGTGTGTTGCGTGTGTTGTGTGTGTTGGGTGTGTGTTGTGTGTTGTGTGTTGTGTGTATTGTGTGGTATGTGTGTTATGTGTGTTGTGTGTTGTGTGTGCTGTGTCTGCTGTGTGTGCTGAGTGTGTTGTGTGTTGTGTGTGTGGTGTGTAATGTGTGTAGTGTGTGTTGTGTGTGTTGTGTGTGTGTTATGGGTGTTGTGTGTGTTGTGTGTATGTGTTGTGTGTTGTGTGTTGTGTGTGCGTGTGTGGTGTGTGTGTTGTGTGTTTTGTGTTGTGTGTGTTGTGTGTGTTGTGTGTGTGTTGTGTGTGTCGTGTGTGTGTGGTGTGTGTGTTGTGTGTGTTGTTTGTGTGCGTGTGTGCGTGTGTGCGTGTGTGCGTGTGTGCGTGCGTGTGTGTGTAAGTGAGTGTGTGTGTGTGTGTGGATTGTGCGTGTGTGCGTGTGCGTGTGTGCGTGTGCGTGTGTGCGTGTGTGCGTGTGTGTGTGTGTGTGCGTGTGTGCGTGTGTGCGTGTGTGTGTGCGTGTGTGTGTGCGTGTGTGTGCGTGTGTGTGCGTGTGGGTGCGTGTGGGTGAATGTGTGTGCGTGCGTGTGCGTGTGCGTGTTCGTGTGTGTGTGTGTGCGTGTGCGTGTGCGTCTGCGTCTGCGTCTGCGTTTGCGTTTGCGTGTGTTGCGTGTGTTGGGTGTATGTGTTGGGTGTGTGTTGGGTGTATCTTGGGTGTGTGTGGGTGTGTGTGTGGGGTGTGTGTGGGGTGTTGTGTGTGTTGGGTGTGTGTGTGGTGGGTGTGTGGTGGGTGTGTGTTGGGTGTGTGTGTGTTGGGTGTGTGGTGTGTGTTGTGTGTTGTGTGTGTGTGCTGTGTGTGTTGTGTGTTGTGTGTATGTTGTGTGTTGTGTCTGTTGTGTGTGCTGTGTCTGCTGTGTGTGCTGTGTGTGTGCTGTGTGTGTGCTGTGTGTGTTGTGTGTTGTGCGTGTTGTGTGTGGTGTGTTGTGCGTTATGTGTGTGTTGTGTGTGTTGTGTGTGGTGTATGTGTGTTGTGTGTGTTGTCTGTGTGTTGTGTGTGTTGTGTGTGTTGTGTGTTGTGTGTGTTGTGTGTTTTGTGTGTTGTGTGGTGTGTGTTGTGTATTGTGTGTGTTCTGTGTGTGTGTTGTGTGTGGTGTGTGTGTTGTGTGTGTGTGTTGTGTGTGTTGTGTGTGTTGTGTGTGTGGTGTGCGTGTGTTGTGTGTGTTGTGTGCTGGTGTGTTGGTGTGTGCTGCGTGTGCTGTGTGTGCGTGTGTGCGTGTGTGTGTGTTTAAGTGAGTGTGTGTGTGTGTGTGCGTGTGTGTTGTGCGTGTGCGTGTGTGCGTGCGCGTGTGTGCGTGTGTGCGTGTGTGTGCGTGTGTGCGTGTGTGTGCGTGTGTGTGTGTGCGTGTGTGTGCGTGTGTGTGTGAGGGTTTGTGCGTGTGCGTGTGTGTGCGTGTGCATGCGTGTGCGTGCGTGCGTGCGTGCGTGCGCGTGCGTGCGTGTGCGTGCGTGTGCATGCGTGCGTGTGCGTGCGTGCGTGCGTGCGTGCGCGTGCGTGCGTGTGCGTGTGTGTGGGTGTGTGGCGTGCGTGCGTGCGTGTGTGTGTGTGTGTGGCGTGCGTGGGCGGCGCGGGCGCGGTGCGCGGGCGGGCGCGTGCGCGTGTGCGTGGCGTGTGCGTGTGCGGGGTGCGTGTGCGTGTGCGTGTGCGTGTGCTTGTGCGTGTGCGTGTGCGTGTTGAGTGTGCGTGGTTTGAGCGTGTGCGTGTGCGTGTGCGTGTGCGTGTTGTGTCTGCGTCTGCTTCTGCGGTGCGTGTGCGTTGCGTGTGCGTGTGTGGTTTGGTGCGTGTGTGTGTTCTCTGTGTGTTGTGTTTTTGGTGTGGGTGTGTGTGTGCGTGTTGGTGGGTGTGTGTGTGTGCGTGTTTGGTGGGTGTTTTTTTGTGTTTGGGGGGGTGTGTTTGTGTGTGTGTGTTGGGTTTGTGTTGGTGTGTGTGTGTTGGTGTGTGTGTTGGTTGTGTGTGTGGTTTGTGTGTGTGGTGGTGTGTGTGTGGTGTTGTGTGGTGTGTGGGTGTGTGTGGTGTTGGTGTGTGTGGTGTGTGTGTGTGTTGTGGTGTGGTGTTTGGTGTGTGTTGGTGTGTGTGTTGGTGTGAATTGTGTGTGTTGGTTGGTGTGTTGGTGGTGTGTGGTGTTGGTGTGGTGTGTGGTGGTGTGTGTGTTGGTGTGGGGTGTTGGTGTGTGTGTTGGTGGTGTGGTTGGTGTGTGTGTGTTGGTGTGTGTGTTTGTGTATGTTTGTTGGTGTGTGTGTTTGGGTGTGTTGTTGGTGGTGTTTTGGTGTGTGTGTGGTGTGTATGTTGTGTTGGTGTGTGTGCTGGTGTGTGTGTTGGTGTGTGTGTTGGTGTGTGTGTTGTGTGTGTGCTGGTGTGTGTGTTGGTGTGTGTGTTGGTGTGTGTGTGTTGGTGTGTGTGTGTTGGTGTGTGTGTTGGTGTGTGTGATGGTGTGTGTGCTGGTGTGTGTGTTTGTTGGTATGTGTTGGTGTGTGTGTTGGTGTGTGTGTGTTGGTGTGTGTGTGTGTTGGTGTGTGTGTGTTGGTGTGTGGGTTGGTGTGTGTGTTGGTGTGTGTGTGTGTTGGTGTGTGTGTGTTGGTGTCTGTGTGTGTTGGTGTGTGTGTGTGTTGGTGTGTGTGTTGGTGCGTGCTCGTGCGTGTGTGTGTGTGGTGTGTGTGCTGTGTGTGTTGTGTGTAGTGGGTGTTGTGTGTGTTTGGTGTGTGCGTGTGTTGTGTGTGATGTGTGCGTTGTGTGTTGTGTGTGTTGTGTGTGTGTTGGTGTGTGTGTTGCTGTGTTGTGTGTTGTGTGTTGTGTGTTGTGTGTGTTGTGTGTGTGTTGTGTGTGCGTGTTGTGTGTGTTTTGTGTGTTGTGTGTGTGGTGTGTGTTGTGTGTTGTGTGTGTGTGTGTGTTTTGTTTGGTGTGTGTGTTTGTGTTGTGTGTGTTGTGTGGTGTTGTGTGTTGTGTGGGTTAGTGTGTGGGTGTGTGTTTTTGTGTGTGTGTGGTTGTTGTGTGGGTGTGGTGTTGTGTGTTTGTGCGTTGGTGTTGTGTGTTGTGTGTTGTGTGTGTTGTGTGTGTGTTTGTGTGTGTTTGTGTGTGTTTGTGGGTGTGTTGTGGTATGTTGGTGTGTGTTGTGTGTTGTGTGTGTGTGTGTTGTGTTTGTTGTGTGTGTTGTGTGTGTGTTGTGTGTGGTTGTGTTTGGTTGTGTGTGTGTGTGTGTGGCTGTGTGGCTGTGTGGCTGTGTGGCTGTGTGGCGGTGTGGCCTGTGTGGCTGTTGTGGGCTGTTTGTGTGGTGGGGGGGGGAGGGAGGGTGGGGGGTGTGGGGGTGTGGGGGTGTGGGGTGTGGGGGTGTGGGGGTGTGGGGGTGTGGGGGTGTGGGGGTGTGGGGGTGTGGGGGTGTGGGTGTGGGTGTGGGTGTGGGTGTGGGTGTGGTTTGGGTGTGGGTGTGGGTGTGGGTGTGGGTGTGCGTGCGTGCGTGCGTGCTTGTGTGCGTGCGTGCGTGCGTGCGTGCGTGCGTGCGTGCGTTCGTGTGTGTGTGTGTGCGTGTGTGTTTGTGTGTGTGTGTCTGTGTGTGTCTGTGTCTGTGTGTGTCTGTGTGTGTGTGTCTGTGTGTGTGTCTGTGTGTGTCTCGGGTGCCGGGCCCGCATTTGGGGCGGCAGCAAGCGCCTCCGAGAGGACTCCGACAGCCGCCTGGGCAGCCCAAAAGAGCCTTGCACCGCCTAGAGGGACGCTCCAGACAGCCTCAGACGACCCCAGGAGACCCTCCAGAACGCCTCCGGAAAGTCAGAGGCCTCACAAAAAAGCAAAGAGGAATATATGTTTCTTGCCTTCTCCTTTTTTCGCCTCCAATGGGTTGCTGAGGCCTCCAGATCGCTCCCGGGAGCCCCCAGGACGCCCCGGAAATTCTCCCACAACGCCCCACGAACCGCCAACACGCCAGCAGAAGGCCCCCAAGAGGCCTCGAAACGCTTCCAAGGGGCCCTCAAGAGACCCCCCAAACGTCCCCCCAAACGTCCCCGGAGCCCCCGAGAAACCCTAAGAGGCCCCCAAGAAGCCCCCACGAGTCTCCAAGAGGCCCGAAGGACCCCCAGAAGCCCCACGAGGCTCCCCAAGAAACCCGAAGGCGCCCAAGAGGCCCTCCAAAGAATTCCCAGTAGCCCCCAAGAGGCTCCACAAGACCTCTCCTGGAACCCACGCGCACCAGCTCTTCGAGCTGCACCCAGCCATGGCGACGAGGCGAGCTCCCCGAGGTGAGAAAACCTCGAACCTCGATCCTGGAGGTTCCAAGTCGATCATCCTCCCGGCTCCAAGTGGCGTCCGCAGCCATTTCTGATCGAGGATTGCCTTTTGGCCGTACACTCCTTACACAAACTTGTTCCCAAGTACACGCAAGGGATATTTTTCCTTTATTGGCTCTGTGGCATGGCAGCCCTCAAGGCGCCATGGACCGTGTTTGTGGCGGCACTCTTTGCCCGCCACATGCCCGCAGCGGTCTCTCTCAAGACGGTGTCCCGTGCCAACACGACGAACACATGGGTGCAGTTGCTGGACAATTTTGAATATTACGGCGAGCGGATGCCCTCATATGCGACACCAATGAATTACGGCTCTTTCACGCAGTTAAAAGCTGTGTACCAAAGTGGAAGCGGCATCTATTGCGATACGAAGAGGTCGGGTGGCACCGTCTGGCAACAGTGTTGTTGTGGGTTAAATTCGTTCGAGGCCATGAAGAATGGAGGGTACATCGTGTCACAATCCAATTGGTACACGTTGCCTTCCAATTGCTACGCGTCCGGATCGACCGAAATCATCTGCAATGTCAATTTCGACATATCAAGCGGCGATACGATTCTCGCCACGTGGTACGAGCCTTCCCGCTCAATATCGCTCCAGGACAATGGCGGCAGCATCCAAGTGGACTTGTACGGCTATGGGACGGCAACGGATCCTACTGTATGTTTCGGGGCGCGTGACAATTCATACGGTTCATTCTATGTCAGCACGGCCATTTCAGTCTCCAACGTGTTGATGACATATTCCAGCGGTAATGTTTACAATTCGGGGGGGCAAGAGGTCACGAAGTGGGGGAACTCAGCTTGGTTCGGCGTTGTATGATCGACTCGAGCAACAACGTAGTGTTTCCCGACTACAACAACAACGGGAACATCGTGACGAAAACGCATGATGGTGGGTGGTACACAATTTCCGGTACCAGCTCTCAATCAGATCCCCAATTTACGTGGCAAACGACTACGGCTAAGACGTTGTCGGCCGGGGAGTACCGATTGTGGTACGGTGAGGATCTATACGATTTCACCGAGAGTGACAACGGCGGGACCATGTGCGCCACAGTTCAGATTAACGGTGGTGCGACGCCCAGCCCGACGCCCTACCCGACGCCCTACCCGACACTTTACCCGACGCCCTACCCGACGCCCTTCCCGACGCCTCACTCAACGCCCTACCCGACGCCCTACCCGACGCCCTACCCGACGCCCTTCCCGACGCCCTACCCGACGGCTTTCCCGACGCCCTTCCCGACGCCCTTCCCGACGGCTTTCCCGACGCCTTATCCGACGGCTTTCCCGACAGCCTTCAAAACGCCCTTCCCGACGCCCTTCCCGACGCCCTACCCGACGGCTTTCCCGACGCCCTTCCCGACGCCCTTCCCGACGGCCTTCCCGACGTCTTTCCCGACGCCCAGCCCGACGCCCAGCCCGACGTATCCTCCAGGTTGGCCGACGCCACATCCGACGTTCCCTCCTGCAGCTCCAGCTGCGGCTGGAGCTGGCGGAAACGTGGCTGCCACTGGCGACCCCCACCTTCAAAACGTCCATGGCGAGCGGTTTGATTTGATGAAGCAGGGCAAACATGTTCTGATCAACATCCCTCGTGGAATGAGCGCTGAAGACTCGTTGCTTCGTGTGCAAGCCGATGCGCGCCATTTGGGTGGAAGTTGCGCGGAAATGTATTTCCAAGAAGTGAACGTTACAGGGTCTTGGGCAGAAGCCAAACAAGTTGGAGGGTACCACCACAGCGCATCGCAAATTGCGGTCGAGGCTCCGCAATGGGTTGCGTTTGGTTCGGTCCAGTTGAAAGTCGCGCATGGACGTACGGATCGTGGCCTCCCGTATCTAAACGTGTACGTGAAGCATTTAGGGCTAGCAGGATTTGCTGTCGGAGGTCTGTTGGGAGAAGACGACCACACAGACATAATGATTCCCACAGCGGCTTGCATTAAGCATACGTCTCTATCCGCGAAGGGCGCGATCTTCCAGGCTTCTTCTTCCGTGTCGTCAGTTGCATTTGCAACCCTCGAGTGATCATACTGAGCGCGTTGTAAGATGCGCACAGTCAAGACGCCGAAGTAAATAACGTCGGAGGGGCTTGCTGTTCTTTAGACCCTTCGCCCACTCGGGCGCGCCGCGTCCATTCAGGCACTCTTAGGGCCAGCGCGGCCTTTTCATTCGGCGCATGCGCCGTCGCTTGCATCCACTGGGCGTAGGCACTCCAGGTAGTTACGCCACTGGCGAGCCATGCGAGCAACTCGCATATTCTGAGAAGCTTGACGAGGTCCATCTACACTTGCTGCTGACTTTTCATGTGCTGCGTCGGATACTCGGTTGCACTAGGAATTCCAGAGGTGTGCCTGGTCTTGGGTTGGGTGTTGCTGTCATGTTATCCGTTGGTATTCTGGCGTGGATATTGCCGCTTTACCAGAGCCTGTGCAGACGCTTACGGAAATCATGAAAGTCGATTGGTTGTCAGTTTGGCCGTCTGGTTGTTTGGTTGCCAAGAGGGTTACGAGACGTTCAAAGATCGCTCCAAGACACCCAAGGTGCCCCCCTAAAAAAATTATCCTGGCGAAGGTCCCAACCATGTGCAGTTATGGGTACCGTAATTGTGAATATCTGCTTCGGTGAAGCTCCCTATGGGGCCACGAAGCGCTGCACTGGACGGGGGCGGAACGCTGTACTGTGTGGGCGGTGTGCCGCATTGGGTTTCCGGTGACGCAAATGCGGGACGGTCCCACTGAGGGGCTTCGGTGAGCTCCCCATGGGGCCACGAAGCGCTCTTACTGAGTGAGTTGAAAATCCAAATTGGATTTCCGGGGAACGCTGCGGACGGTCCACGGGAGGTTCGGTGGAAGCCCCCTTTTGGGGCACGACACGCTGCACTGCGCGGGTGTGCAATGACAAATTCATTTCACGGACGCATCGGATTGGTGGCATTGGGGCTTGGTGGATTTCGAGCCCCTTATGGGGGCCACGTAAACGCTGCCACTGCGGTTGGGTGGAAAATGCCAAAATGTGGGCTTCCTGGAACGGCATGCGGAGGTGGTCATTGGCGGCCTTTCGGTGGGGGGGGGCGCCTCCCTATAGAGGCCCACGAAGCGCTGTACTGGGTGTGCGGAACGCATGCGGACGGTAGCGCTGGGACCTTCGGTGGGGCTCCCTATAGGGCCACGAAACGCTGCACTGGGCGTGCGGGACGCATGCGGACGATAGCACTGGGACCTTCGGTGGGGCTCCCTGTGGGACCACGAAACGCTGTATTGGGTGGGTGAAACGCAGGGAGGAGGGGGAGGAGGGCCACGAAACGCTGTGCTGGGTGTGCGGGACGCATGCGGACGGTAGCGCTGGGACCTTCGGTGGGGCTCCCTATGGGACCACGAAACGCTGTACTGGGCGTGCGGGACGCATGCGGACGGTAGCACTGGGACCTTCGGTGGAGCTCCCTATGGGGCCACGAAACGTTGTACTGGGTGTGCGGGACGCATGCGGACGGTAGCACTGGGACCTTCGGTGGGGCTCCCTAGGGGGCCACGAAGCGTTGTACTGTGTTGGCGAAACGCAGGGAGGAGGGGGAGGAGGGCCACGAAACGCTGTACTGGGTGTGCAGGACGCTGCGGACCGGTAGCACTGGGACCTTCGGTGGGCTCCTATGGGGCCACGAAACTGCCGACTGGAGTGTGCGGGACGCATGCGGGACGGTAGCACTGGGACCTTCGGTGGGGCTCCCTATTGGGGGCCACGAAGCGTTTTTGTACAGTGTTTGGGCTCTGTTATTTTTACCGTTTGCGGGTGCACGATGGAGGGAGCTCTATGGGCACGACGAAACGCTGTACGGGGTAGGTGATAATGCCAGGGGCGGGGGAGGAGGGCCACGAAACGCTGTACTGGGTGTGCGGGACGCATGCGGACGGTGGAGGAGGAGGAGGAGGGGGAAGAGGAGGAGAGAAGGAGAACGCGGGGACCGTCTCTTCAAAACGAGGACCCAACACAACAGGATGATTGGGAAAAACTGTCCAAGAGGCCTGCAAGACGCCCCAAAAGGCGTCCAAGAGTCTGCCGAATAACACCCACAAAGGCCAAATTTGCGGGATGACTGGCGGAATGCCTTTTACCCTTCAGCCAACCAGCGCGGCAGTTTTCTCTCTCTCTCTCTCTCTCTCTTTTTCTCTTTCTCTGTTTTGTCTCTCTCTCTCTCTCTCTAGTATACCTTTCTCTCGCCATCTCGCTCTCTATTTCTCTCTTGTTTTTTCTCTGTCTCTCTCTCTTTCTCTCTCTCTCTCTTTCCCTCTCTCTCTCTCTCAGTGACGTTGGCGCTTCGCCAGCGCCAGTGCCCCAGCACAAAGACGCTTCCGGAAATAATGGAATTCGATTGGTTGTCAGTTTGGTCGTTTGGCTGGCTGGTTGCTATGAGGGCTTCGAGACGCCTAAAGACCGCTCCAAAACGCCCAAGATGCCCCCCCCCTCAAAAAAAAACGGTCCAAGAGGCCTTCAAGACGCCCCAAGAGGCGTCCAAGAGTCTTCTGACGAAGGCCTCAACAGGCCAACATTGTGTACTTATTTGCGGAATTTCTTTCTCTCTCGCTCTCTCTCTTTCTCTCTCTCTTTCTCTTTCTCTCTCTCTCCCTCTCTCTTTCTCTCTCTCTCTCTCTCTCTCTCTCTCCCCCTCTCTCGTTTACTTGTTTATTTGTCTCTCTCTCTCTCTCTCTCTCTCTCCTACCCAAACCGGACGACGTTCCTCAAATGGCACATATCGGTACCATTTGAGGCATGCCAGTGGTGCACACCAGTGGTGCATACAGACGACATGACTCAAGTGGTATTAAGTTTGTACCACTGAGCCCCAGACGCCCCAAATGGCCCCAAGACGGCCCAAGAGTCTTCCAAAACAGAGGCTTCCAAGAGGCCTCCCAAGAGGGCCTCAAGAGGCCAAAATCAATGATTGCCCATTGGTTCCCTACCTAGGCTCTGCCTAGAAGGGTTCTTACTGTGTGAGCTTAAAGGGCCGGGCAGTGTAACCCGCCCCGGGCGGTTCCCCGGGCATCCGCCCCGCGGTTCCCCAGTCCCCGGGGAGCTTTTGCTTTAGCTTTAGCTTTAGCTTAGCTTTAGCTTAGCTTCAGCTTAGCTTTAGCTTAGCTTTAGCTTAGCTTTAGCTTAGCTTTAGCTTAGCTTTAGCTTAGCTTTAGTTTAGCATTAGCTTAGCTTTAGCTTAGCTTTAGCTTAGCTTTACCTTAGCTTTACATTAGCTTCACCTTAGCTTTACCTTAGCGTTAGCTTAGCTTTAGCTTAGCTTTAGCTTAGCTTTAGCTTAGCTCAGCTTTACCTTAGCTTTACCTTAGCTTTACCTTAGTTTTGCCTTAGCTTCAGCTTAGCTTTAGCTTAGCTGTAGCTTAGATGTAACTTAGATTTAGCTTATATTTAGCTTAGCGTTAGTTTAGCTTTAGTTTAGCTTTAGCATTAGCTTAGCTTTAGTTTAGCTTTAGCTTAGCTTTAGCTGAGTTTTACTGTTACTACTAATGCTGCTTTCCTAGGGGCTCCAACTCCTAGGTAGGGTCGCACTGGGATAATTTTCAAAGGTTTTCGGCGTTCTCGCCTTCTCGGCTTCCCTACGCTTCAAGACCGGCCCAGGAGGCCCCCAAGATCGCCCCAAGACGGTCCCAGAAGTCTCCAAGAGGGCCCTAAGACTGCCCAAGAGGGCCCCAAGACGGACCAAGAGGCGCCTAAGACGGCCTAAGGGGTCCTAAAGACGGCTCCAAGGGGGGGCCCAGATGGGGGACCCGAACGGATATTTAGAGCCCTCGGCCGCGAGGGGCCCCCAGGAGG